TACAATTTTTAATTTCTAAAAATTTATCTCAGATTCGAAATCAACGATCCCAAATACCCCCAAATAACACGTTTGAACAGCATGTGACTATTAGAAATTCAATGTTAACTTTTTCGATCACTTTTCTCTTTAAATATTTAATAAATGGAGCTAAATTTTTTTTTAATAACTGACTGTTGGGATCAGAAATCACGTAAAAATTATCTGCTTTTGGAAGACATCTTCATTTCTTATCTCTTTTTTTAAAACATTCTTTAAAACAACAGACGGAATAAAAAATGGTTTCCGGAAGTCATATGGTAAACACCAGATGACGTATCGCAATTCTGCAGTTCCCAATAAGTGATGAATTAAAAGTGTATTTTTAAGTGACTTATACTTAGATTTCATCGTTAGTGACTAAACAATTTACGAATACAATTTTTTTATTTCGATTGTGTTAAGATTTTCTGGCTAGAGACTTGAAAAAGTCTAAAATAATTCTCTTAATAGAATCTTAAGTAATTTTTCGAATCAGTCATTAGCCAGTTAGGAAAGAAATTCTTGTTACTATTATGATCAGATTTTCTAATCCGTATCTTGTGAGATGTACTGAACAGAAAGTGAAATTTTTTCCGTCCAGTGAAATTGTCCAGTTACTTATTCAGGACTTGCAGGTATTGATTGATAAATTTTTATAATTTTAATTGTAAATATGACCATGGTTATTCCGAAAATTTAATAATTAAAAAAAATAAATTTTTATTTGTTTTATTCGAAGATAATTAAATTTTAAAAAATTATGATGAAAAAATTCTAAGAATAAAGTAGGGTAGAGAATAGTTAGAATAGTTACGCCCATCGTTTTTTTTGACATAAAAAAAATTGTAAAATCGCTGTAGTTCGGAACAGAATCGAGTTACAGCAAAATAATGTGGGAAAATTGTAGCTAAGAAGTCAAGTTTTCAGACGGTCCTAATCATTTTTTTATTTTTTTTTTAAATACATTTTTTAGACTCAAAAATTCAAACAAGAATAGTAATGCCCCATCCTACCCTAGTTTGTAAAAATATTTTAATGTAATTTTTCGAAAACAATTAAATTTATTAAATGAGTTTTTGTATACTTTTAAAAAAACTTATTAATTTATTGAGGAATTTTAATGAAATATTTTGAACATAATCGTTCTTTCCAAAATGCTAAAAATAATTCTAAAATGTTATTATTTTTTGTATGTATTTTAATTTTCGGAAATATGTAATTCAAAATACTGAAAATATTGCATTTTAAAAAACTAGAAGCGAATTTTCATTTTTAAATTAACGTTTAAAGATTTTTCATTAAATTTTTTGATAATTCATTCAAAATTTACAATTAAAATTCTTGAAAAGTTGATTTTCAGAAATTGTAACTAAATACTTGAAAAAACTCAATTATTTTTAGTTAAATTTTATTGATTTTAAATTATACTCATCTTTTTAATAGTATATTTTTAAAGTTTAAATGGAAAAATAATTTTTTAAAGATTTATTTATAGTTATTTTTTGCACTATAAAAATCGAAATTTATATTTAATTTAATCTAAAAAAATACATATGGGTCAATCTCTAGAAATGAACAAATTCAGAATTGAAATTTCATTTTAAAAAAAGTTGAAAATTCACTTTTATTATTAGTCCTTTGGCAAAAGGGGGATCCTAATAAGCCTATAAAATACGTGGTTACAATCTTTATCAACATTATTATTAAAAATTAATGTTTTTTAATCAGAATTTTTGTTGAAAATTTCTCGCAGCTAAATGGGTTTCAAAATTGATGAAAATTAATTAAAACTCGTTACTCAGGGGTTTTAGGGGTCGCCGATTACGAATCCGATGTCAGTTTCTCAAAATCCAAAATGGTGGATCCAATATGGCAGACACTTTCTTCAAAAATTTAACGGATTTGCTTGAAACTCGTTACTCGGGGGTTTTCGGGGTCGCTGATTATGAATTTCAAGATAGTTTTTGAAAATTGAAAATGGCGGATCCAATATGGTGGACACTTTTTTCAAAAATTCTTCGGGTATGCTTGAAACTCGTTATTCGGGAGTTTTCGGGGTTGCTGATTACGAATCCGATGTCAGTTTTTGAAAATTCAAAATCCCGAAATCCCCAGAGCAAATGGCTGATCTAGTATGAATAATTAATTAATTATTCATACTAGATCAGCCATTTGCAATTTTCAAAAACAAACATCAAATTCGAATTCAGCGACCCCAAAAACCCCTGAGGAACGAATTTCTATCGAATAGCATCAATCTTCAAATTATCCGCCATATTGGATCCGCCATTTAAAATTTTTTAAAACTGATCCAAAATTCGTAATCAGCGACCCCGAAAACCCACTAATAACAAGTTTCAAGCAAATCCGATGAATTTTTCAAAAAGTGTCCGCCATGTTGGATCCGCCATTTTGAATTTTTAAAAACTAATAACAGATTCGTGATCAGCGACCCCGAAAACCACCAAGTAACAAATTTTATGCAAATCTGAGCAGTTTTTAAAAAAAATGTCGGCCATATTGGATCCGCCATTTTGAATTTTCAAAAACTGACATGAGATTCGTAATCAGCAACCCCGAAAACCCCCGAGTAACGAGTTTCAAGCAAATCCGATGAATGTTTTAAAAAATTGTCCGCCATGTTGGATCCGCCATTTTGAATTTTCAAAAATTATTATCATATTCGTAATCAGCAACTCTAAAAATCCCCGAGTAACGATTTTCAGGCGAATCCGATGATTAATAAAGTCTGTAATTTACGTGCTGTGTAATGGAAATATACCATGGGTAACGGAGGGGAGTTTTCTTCCATTATACAGCTTCAAAATGTTATGATTATAATATAAAAAAAATAAATATTATAATAAATTAATGACAGCATTTGTTTTCTTTGTTTTTAAATAAAACAATGTTTTAAAGATTATTAAAAATTATTATTATTTACGTCCTAAAAACTAAATTTACTGCGGTAACGGAGGGGAGTTTTTATTGTGTCGATGATCACTGACAAACTAAAGATTCTTTTAAAACTAATTGTTTTCATTTTGTTTCATCATTTTATGCAATAACCATAACTATACTGACACTACAAAGAGTTTTGATGTATTTATTTCTATTTTATCGTTTTTGTTTATATTTTATAATTATATTTGTGAGCGGTAACGGAGGGGAGTTTTATTTCTGCACAAAACTAATTTAATTCTAGGTAAAAATAACTAACAAATATTTTACTTTATTTTTCATGATTGAATTAGAAATAAAATAATAAGTAGATATTACCGGGCAAAAGATTTTTTTGTATTACAGAATTAATATAATACCTTTTCTATAAATGAAACTTACTTCATGAACGGTAACGGAGGGGAGTTTTTATGCTATATAAACACGTGTATCTTTAAATATTTTAAATTTTCGATTTATTTTTCATAGGATCCGATTAAATCATGATGAATGCTATTATTAGGACGTAAAGATTTTGAAAAATTATTATTATTTATTTTTAAAAATCTAATGTACGTGTCATGTGTCCCGATTGTGAGAATGACCCATATATACAATATTTGGAAAAAGTCGAAAATATCTCAATTTTCTAAATTTCCCTGACAAAAGTTTTTTTCCTGACATTTCCCTGACAATTTACTGACATTAAAATTACTTTCCCTCTACAATTTTGAACTAAACCTCATCTCTAAATCAATTAATTTAAATAATTTTCCAAAAATTCTTTTAGAATTTAATTATATTTTTAAATAATTTTTGAAAGATAATAGTTTTCAATTTTGAAAAATTTTCAAATAATTAAAATTTGGCAAAATATTTTTAAAATAATTGAATTTTTGAGAAATATAAATAAAAAAAATGATTAAATTTTTGAAGAATTTTAATGATAAACAGGACCATGAGTTCTCAAAAATTTTAATAAAAAAAGAAAGTTAAAAATCTAAAATTTAAAAAGTGAATTTTCATAAATTTTGATTTACATTGTTTGAAGATAATTGAATCTTAAAAAATTATTATGAAACAATTCTAATAATTAGTTTTTAAAAATATTTGAATGTAATTTTTCGAAAATAATTGAATTTCTTAAAAGAATTTTGGTATAATTTCAAAAAAAGAATTAATTTTTCGAGAAATTTTAATAAAATATTTTGAACATGATTGTTTTTTCCAGAATGCTAAAAATAATTCTAAAATGTTATTATTTTTTGTATGTATTTTAATTTTTGGAAATATGAAATAATATAAATAATTTAAAAAATTAGAAGCTAATTTTCACTTTTAAATTTACCTTTAAAAGATTTTTCAATCTACTTGATTGATTTGATTTTCAAAAATTGTAACAAAATGCTTGAAATAAATTAATTATTTACAATAAAATTTTCCAAAATTTCAAGTATTCAAAAAGATTTTTATTATAGATATATTTGAAAAATTTAATTATGTTGAAAAATGCTTCAAAAAGTTTTTTTGAAAGAATTGTTTATAGTTAATTTTCGCATTATATAAATCAAAATAATTTGCACTTTTTTACTGAAAATTATGGCATTTTGTTGCAATGTTTTAAAAAAAAGCCGAAAAAAGTCCCAATTTTCTTAATTTTACTGACAAACAATTGTTTTCCTAACATTTTCTTGACTTTACTGCCAAAAATTTTACTTCCTAGATTTTACTGCCAAAAAGTTTGTCTCCCTGACATTTCCCTGAATTTACTGACATGTGACAACCACTTCTTTATTTATAATAAATGAAAATATTTTTAATTAAAACATTTTGTTAAAAAATGGAGTAAAAATTATTACTTGTTTAAAATGTATAAAGATATTCATTTTATCTCATGGCAAAAACTGACGCATGTGACCACGTGTTACTTTTTATTCATTGGATAAAATGGACGCATTCTTCATAAAAGTGGAAATAATGAATAGTATTTCTCCTTGTCAAACAATAAGAAACTTTCATTACAATATATATTACCATACCTTTTTCTTCTTCTTCTTCAATCAATTGAAGTTCAGCCAACTATCAGAAAACGTGTTATTTTATTAAATTTCACTGCCGCTCCAAAAAATCCACGTGTGTCAACGAAATGGTAACTTGTAATGACGTGTTCTCTAGGCTCCTTGTTCTTTGCGCAGTGGCGCACACGTGATGTCGAGTGATGCCGAACGATGTCGAGTGATGTCGTGTGATGTCGACCGACAGCTTCGGGCGAATAATACAGGGAACCTCCTTTACAATAAATAAAAATATTTTTAATTAAAACATTTTGTTGAAAAATGGAGTAAAAATTATTCACTTGTTTAAATTGTATGGAGATAGTTTTCATTTTATCTCATGGCAAAAAATGACGCTTGTGACCACGTGTTACATTTTACTCAATGGATAAAATGGACGCTATCTTCATAAAAGTGGAAACAATGAATAGCATTTCTCCTTGTCACAAAATAAGCACTTTCTTAATAATATATTTTACTATACCTTTTTCTTCTTCTTCTTCAATCGATTGAGGTTCAGCGAACTATCAGAAAACGTGTTAAATTTTATTAAAATTCACTGCTACTCCAAAAAATCCGCGTGTGTCAACGAAGTGAAACTTGTAATGACGTGTTCTCTAGGCTCTTTGTTCTCTGCGCAGCGGCGCACACGTGATGTCGAGTGATGCCGAACGATGTCGACTGATGTCGAGTGATGCCGAACGATGTCGAGTGATGTCGAGTGATGTCGACCGACAGCACTTTCTTAATAATATATTTTACTATACCTTTTCCTTCTTCTTCAATGAATTAAAGTTCAGCCAACTATCACAACACGTTATTTTATTAAAACTCTCAAATTCACTGTTGCTCCAAAAAATCCGCGTGTGTCAACGAAGTGATAAGTTGTAAAGACGTTTTTCTCTAGACTACGTGTTCTCTGCGCACTTGCGCACACGTGATGTCGAACGATTTCGAGTGATGTCGACCGACAGTATCGTGCGCATAATATAGGGAACCCTAGTATTCTCTGCGCACTCATGATGTCTACCACCAGTATCGTACGCATAGTACAGAGAACCCTAGCAAATAATTCGACTTTCATTTTAAGTACATAGAGAAAGGTAAATTATGCGATTGAAAAATGCATAATTTTTTTAAATTATGTAAAAATATAATAATATTATGTTAATTCGTATTTTAAACCATTTGCAATATAATTTTAGAACGCATAATATTGCATAATTTTTTACTCTTCATACAATTTTATTATTTTTTCATAATTATCGAAAAATTTTGACCAAAATTGTCAGAATAGTGTTTTTCTTTAACTAAACCATGCGTAAATTTTTTTAGTTTATTTTTTTATAATGTTTTTCAAAATTAATTGAATCATAATTAAATGAGTCATTTTCATTGAAATTTTCACTCAAAAATTTTTTTTTATTAAACAATTTTTTTAGAATTCTATATCAAAAATAAATAAATATCTATATTTTTTATTTGACCAAAATTGCGGAAGTTATCCGAAAATTTATTTTTTTTCCGAAAATATTCCGGAAAAAATCCGAAAATTTTTTTTTTCCGGAAATCTTCCGGAAAATTTCCGCAAATTTATTTTTTTACGGAAATCTTCCGTAAAATTTCCGGAAATTTTTTTTTTTTTACGAAAATCATTCGGAAATCTTCCGGAAACTTTCCGGAAATTTATTTTTTTTACGGAAATCTTCCAGAAAATTTCCGGAAATTTATTTTTTTTCCAGAAGATTTCCGGATGATTTACGTACAAAAAAAATAAATTTCCGGAAATTTTCCGAAAGATTTCCGGATGATTTCCGTAAAAAAAATAAATTTCCGAAAAATTTACTTTTTTAAGGAAATCTTCCGGAAATTTATTTTTTTTTCCTGAAATCTTCCGGAAAATTTATTTTTTTACGGAAATCTTTCGTAAAATTTCCGGAAATTTATTTTTTTTACGGAAATCTTCCGGAAAACTTCCGGAAATTTATTTTTTTTACGGAAATCATTCCGAAATCTTCTGGAAACTTTCCGTAAGTTTATTTTTTTACGTAAATCTTCCGGAAAATTTCCGGAAATTTTTTTTTTGTACGGAAATCTTCGGAAAATTTCCGGAAATTTATTTTTTTTACGGTAATCATCTGGAAATTAATTTTTTTTTATGGAAATCTTCCAGAAAATTTCCGGAAATTTATTTTTTTTTCGGAAGATTTCTGGATGATTTACGTAGGGGAGTATAGTCGAGGTTGGACCACTGTCTAGGTAGGCCATTCGCGTTTTTTTGTCAAGTTCACTAGCGCCACCTACGCGCATACTTGTCGAAGCTTGTCTTAGTGAAACCTAACTTTTTGTTGAATTACATTTTCGAAGAATCAAAAATTGTGTTCTCTGTGACAATGGTACAAAAAAAGCTCAAAAAAAGTTTTGTGCATAATGTAAAAAACCATTAATAAAAGATAAAAAAACAAATTGAATCGTCAAGGCAAATATGCAGAAAATTTGTGGGACTTATGGTTGAAAGAAAAACAAAGCAAAAAATCGAATCCCGAAACGTATTTCATTATGGTTACAACAATTCGGTAATGTTACTTACTGTCAAGGTCGGCCACTATGTGTTTAAAATGCGCAAAGATGAGGACGAGCTACTTCATTTGCAAAAACTGCAATTCTGTATAACTCATAATATAATTCATCATCTTATTAATATTTTTATTTAATTTTATTAATATTTTAGTGCAAAATTTTTTTTATTTATATTTATTTTTTTATATTGTTTATTTTTATTATTTTGTTATTTCATTAAGTTACAAACTGTAAACACTAAAGAATCAATTTTCCGTAACTCCAAACATGTTATTTTATTTTTTAACGATTAATGCCCTGTGAATTTTAAACATGGCCGACCTTGACTGTAAGGACCAACCTCGACTACAAATTTCTTTTTTCTTAAATCTTTATAACTTTTTCATTTTAAAACAAAAATGAAATAAAAAAAAAGAAATGAATGAAAAATAAAAAAGGAATTCCAAACCCGTCTTCAGAATGGCGAAACAAACATAAAGATAATGTATCTCCATGGTTCTCCAGCAATAGTCAACAAGTGACTCACCAAAAAAATACATCTATAAAAATTTATTATCAAAATGTCCGTGGTTTAAATTCTAAACAACTATTAGTTAATTGTTACCAAGACATTTTATTGTACACTATATATGTATTAACAGAATCATGGCTGAAACCTCATATAAGTTCTTATCAATATTTTGATTCTTCATCCTTTTCATGTTTTCGAAAGGATCGCATTGACAGAAAAGGCGGTGGTGTCTTTATTGCAGTAAGTAATTTTTTTACTACCTCCTTAATAAATTTTTTGACAATAAATAATAAATACCCGTCTATAGATTTATTAGGCATAAGAATTTCTAAACACACATTATCTTTTTTACTCATAACTACATACATTCCTCCTGACACTCCCCTACCTATTTTTTCTTCATTTTTTTCTGACTTGCAAGAATGCATGCTCACGTATAATGATTCTATAATTTTTTTAGGTGATTTCAATTGTCACTTAAATGCTTTTGACACCAAATCTTATATCCTAAAAAATTTTATGACAACTTTACAATTAAAACAATGTAATACTATTTTTAATCAATATTTAAAAATGTTGGACTTAGTTATTACTAATCAAGAATGTCAAGTATTGAAGGTAACATGCCCTTTGGTACCAGAAGACTTTCACCACCCAGCCTTTTTTGTCAATGCTACTATTGTCTCTACGCATCGTTTTTTAACTTCCTCATTTTATAATAATGTTGATATACCTCATGCGAATCCAACTTATAATTTTAAGAAAGCAGATTACCAAGCGTTATATGCTTATATGTTTGACATGGACTGGTCGTGCCTCAGTTTCATCACTGACTCTAATGAAGCTTGTTACGAATTTTTATCAAAATTGAATTACGTTTTTTCTTTATTTGTACCTAAACGTTCTAATAATGCTAAATTTAGTCGTCGATATCCACCGTGGTTTGACCAGCACATTATAAATGACATCAACTTAAAACACAAATTATTAAAAAAGCGATCTAAAAACACTTCTAAATATTATGAAGATCAAATAAAAATTCTATCAGAATCAATCCACAAGAATATTAAACATGCTTACTATGTATATATACGAACAACTGAATGTAATTTAAAACATAATCCAAAAAATTTTTGGAAATACTTCAACAAACATAAACCATGTGTACAAATACCTGACGTGATGTATTTAGATGATTTAAAATTAACTAACCAGCAGGACATTGTCAACGAATTTTCAAAATTATTTTCAACCCATTGTCGATCAAGTTCGACCTCTCTTCCAACTACTGTTAATAATTTTCACGTTGATAATTTTTGTAATACACCTTTTTTGTTATCAAGTGTTACTGTACTTAATGCTATAAAAAAATTAAAGCCAACAACAACGTCAGGTCTTGATAACATTCCAAGTTTCCTTATTAAGGATTGTGCGACTGTATTGTGTCAACCTTTAACAACAATTTTTAATATAGCTCTCACCACAGGAGACTTTCCCAGGGAATGGAAAATGGCTAAAATCGTCCCAGTTTATAAACAAGGTGACAAAGATGTAATAAAGAACTATCGACCAATAGCCATTATCCAAAATTTTGCGAAGGTCTTTGAACGTGCAATTGTCGACACAATACAAAATTCTTTATCATATGTAATAATTGATCAGCAACATGGTTGTATAAGTAAACGATCAACCGCGACCAATCTTTATGAGTTTACACAATTTGTTAACTTAGCATTACAAAACGGTTATCAGGTTGATGTTATTTATTTAGATTTCGCAAAGGCTTTCGACACTATAAATCATGATATTTTATCTGATAAACTACAATTGTTAAATCTACCTTTCAACCTTCACTTATTATTGTTAAATTATCTCTCGGGAAGGTCACACCAGGTCAAGGTCGGTAATTACTTTTCTACTCCTTTTACTCCAACATCAGGTGTTCCCCAAGGGTCGTCACTTGGATCTCCTCTTTTTAATATATACATAAATGACATCAACCATAACATAGCTTCGAAAATTCTTATTTTTGCTGATGATGTAAAAATTTATAAACTCATACAAAATTATGATGATGTTTCCCTTCTCCAGTCTGACTTAAATTTAATTTTTGATTGGTCTGTAAAAAATAAACTTCCCTTGAATATTTCTAAATGCCATTCTTTATCTTTTACTAGAACAAAGACGTCCATAAAATGTGATTATTTAATAAACAACATCGCTTTAGAAAGAGTAACAAGTACATGTGACCTTGGAGTGACTTTCGATAATAGATTAAGTTTCAATGATCAAATATCTCAAGTAGTGTCTTCTGCATCTAGGGCCTTGGGATGTTTATTAACGTCAACTAAGTATTTTAGAAATTTGTCAACAATAGTTGCATTATATAAATCTCTGGTTCTTTCTAAAATAAATTATATCCCATTTATATGGATTCCTTATTACAACAAATATAATGATGAACTGGAGAAAATCCAAAAATCTTTTCTAAAGTACTTGGCGT